GTACCAGGCTTCCTAGACCCTCCTCACTCACCACTAATTTGGATCACTTGTCAGACTTCGTAATTCCAAAAAAATAATGTGTTCCTAAAAAATAATATTTTAAAACATATCCCTAAATATACATCCACAGAATATTTTAAGAAGGGCACTTATAAGCTGATTAATAATGACTAGTCCTGGGAAGAAAATTCACTAGGTGATAGTCGTGGAAGAGAAGACACTTTTCACAGTATGCCTTCTATATTCCTTTGGAGGACCTGCCCATGCTGTTCATTATCTATTAAATAATTACATTATTTTAAAAGAGCCCCTTGGTTCTAATGTGTGTGGGAACTGTTATAAATGTATACCTGGGTCTGTGCTTTCCTTAACTACAAGTTCACCCATGCTGGTTCCTTTGGTCATTACAGAGGCATTCAGCGTACAGCAGCCTGCGGCCAGCAAGCAAAGGAGTAACTCCGCGCCTGGATCTACCCGACCTTCCCTTCTCAGGTAAATCACCTGAACGACGAAGGACTTTCAGCTTATTTCCTTGCCGGGCTAACCGTTGCCCCTTTTCTTTGCGTATTAGAAATTTAATTGGCGACGTTTATTCAAAGCCATTTCAACCTGGCAGTGTATCTGTTACGGACATGACATCCTAGCGGTTCAGGCAGAGGGGGAAATAGAAGTGTACTCTGCCAGCCATGCTTCTCAGAGTGCACATAGTGAGGAGAAACACCAAGCTTTGTTCCTCTTTTTCTCTTTTTAATGAATTTCAAGACTATCTTCCAATCTCTTAAAAAACAAAGAAAATGAACTATTTTAAGAACGTAATCTGGGTGTGAATGTTTATTACTCCCACAGTTCCTAAAATAGGCCTTTCTTAGTGATATCTTCGCCTTTGGATGAGCTCTCCATTCTGTGGTTATGCCGTATTTTCCTAGTCAAAGCCTGACAAAGAAGGGGCTGTGGTCACAGGATTCTTACCGTGCCACAGTTCCACTTGTGCCAGCGCTCTATGCTCATAGCCGAGGGGCAGTAGCTCCAGAGTTTGACTGCTTGGGTGTGAGTCTTGATACTGCCCCTTATGACGGTGACCCAGTTAGTCTCCTCTGTGCTATGGTTTCCTCGTGTCTAAACCATGTCATAGAACTCTTGCATGGGAACACACAAAAAGCATGTAGAATAATACCTGATATGCACTAAGCACCGTAACAATACGTACTGTCATCATCCTCTTACCTGCTGCCCTCTGCTCTATAATTCACACACCCAGAACACTTTCGGCCTGGTAGCATGTTTAGGTTACCTGTGGTATATCTTTAAGATGTCATTTATACATATCCTGTTACTGAGGAAACAAGGATAAATAAATAGAACACTGTATCAATTATTTACTAGCACCCTTTGGAAAGATGGAGTTCCCGGGTGATGTGTTGTAAAGCACAAAACACTAAACCAAACTCGCTGCCTTTGAGTCAGTACTGACTCATCGCGGACCCCCTGCGGGTTTCCAAGACTGTAACTATTTATGGGAGTAGAAGATCCAGTATTTCTCATGAGGAGCTGCCAGTGATTTCGAGCTGCCTAGCAAACAGATTGCAGCCCAACTCAAAACCAGTACACCAAAAAAAAAACAAAAAACCAGTACACCAAGAGGCCCCAGATTCAAATATTATATATAAAGGCACATGTATTATGTCTTGGAAAGGGCAGACAAAGACACATCAACCAGATTAGGGAGACCATCAGCAAGAAGGCATCATGACGTCGAAGGTTTTATAGAAAACTGCTACAGTAAGACATCGGAGTGCAAGGGAAACTGTCACAAATCATATCTGGAGGCAGATCATTATATCACAGTAGCATGAAAGACTACAGAAGTCGGAAGGGAACCACGAACCATACTTGGGACACGTATATTATCCAAGACAGAAAGAACTTAAAAGCCTGGTTCAGGGCCATTCAACCAAGGCAGTCAGAATGATTCATGAGCATGTGAACCCCAGCACCAAAGTTCCATCCAAGACACACCCGAGCAAGTCGTCAGGCCTCGGCCCCTACCCCTGGACTGGCTAGTAGATTGTAGTAATCCACTTTCTAATGCATTCTGCGTGAGGGAAAACTATTCTCACCATTAATTCACAATTAATGGTGAGCAAGAATTCAGGGGAAGCTTAATCTATGTGGACACTAAAAAATGGATTCAGGGCTATCACTATAAAACGCACCTCTCTGCAGACTTGGTGCTGAGTCTAAGCTGTAATTCAGGTGCAAATGGTTAACACACTTGGCTGCTAAACAGAAGGTTGAGGATTCAAGTCTCCCCAGAGGTGACTCAGAAGAAAGGCCAGATGATCGGCTCAAAATGTTGTCCATTGAAAACTCAAGGGAGGAAAGTTCTAATCTGATACACGTTAGGTTACCAGCAGTTGCCGTCATCTCACGAGCAATAGGTATTTTAGAAAGTATAGAAAATCAGAGATTTAGTACCTAGATCACTTAGCTAGAAATGCAGGTCGTCTCCAGATTATGAAAGAGTTCTCTTTCTAAATATGTCTTTAAGTCTAAGTTCTATATAAATTGGAACCGTTTTCATCTAATGTCATTTAGTTCAATGTTTGTCATATTATACTTTTCTATCAAAAAAAATTAAGAAATATTTCCAGACACCCTAAAAATCTTTAACAAAGTAATACAATAGTAACAATGTTTTGATGCATGTTGAAAAGTTATACCTGTTGGTTATTATAAGTCATTGTATATACCTGGAATTTTTAATATTATAGACCTTAAGAAGTTGATTTGTAGCTATAACTTTTATGTAAGTTGGAGATTCATAGCCCAGACACTGCCTGTACTTTGTTACTAAGTATAAAACAAAATTTATTTAATATGGTTTAAATAAAAATAAGAAATTCAAACTGTATTTCTTTTAGATCACAGCCAAACATGGTCAGGTTTATTCTTATATTTCTTAGCAGTCTAAGATTAGAAACATAAGGTAAACCCAGAGAAGGGATATATGGAGATAGAAATTAAAAGAGAGTTTGGAGTTTGAGACCCAATAGGTCAGGTACCAACCGAGTATTTTATGGAGGGGAGAAAAAGGAAGGTCAAAAAAGAGTATTGAAGAGAAACAATGATTGAACAAAAATCTTCCTGGTTTGAATTTTGTATACCTGCTATATAATGTAAAATAGGGAATCACGTGGTTGTGTGCATAGTGTTATGGGTGCAGTGCTTTTGATCATATTATTTGTGCCCTCTTCTCTCTGTCCCATCAGCATTAAAGCTTCCTTTTGTGTATAGAAGCTTTTATTTTCATTGACAAGATAAATACTGAGTTAAAAGTACAACAGCTATTGCCCTGAAGTAAATAGTTTTTTTTACTACCATCCCTTTGCTCCTGCCAAGCACCTGTCTACCTTGATGATTATATTTTCTATAATAAAAAAGGATTGTGCATTGAAAAAAATTGCTTGCTTTCTGGCTAGCCTTACAAACACTGAGGTCACCAGAAGCTGCAGAAACTGTTGTTTTGTTGTTTTCTTTAGTGATGCAAACACTGTTATTCTCTGCTCTTTAGAACTAATTATCCTTAGTGCCAACTTCACTCTACCCATAATTGAGGGCTATTAGCTGTACAAATATTGTTTTCTTCCATGACTATTTCTGGTGTAATAGGTGGAGACCATGGGTTCTGCTTTATTGCTAAGCTACTGTTTGGCATTGAGCGAGTCTAGATTCAGTGAGCTTGAATTTCTTCTGGTCAGTCTAAAATTCTCTCCCATTTTATTATTTTGTGGTCCTTTAAATATCTCCCCTCAAGGAGGATTCAGCTTCTTTCATGACAAATTTCAAACCATGTTTGTTTTTTGTTTTTTTGTTTTCAGCAGCGGGTAATTGGTGGATTTTTCATATGTGTCTAGTGAAAATACATGTAATAAAACATACTGTATGTCAGCAGTTTATACATATACAGTTGAAAAAGTTCTTCAAACTCCGGGTCCATTCTTGCTATCCTTTCCCAAGGCCTTCCACCACCATTAACATAAACTCAATATCCTTAATAAGAAAAAAACACTTTTAAACTACCAATGGAGTCAAGGAAGAAATCACGTATGTCTTAGTATCAAATTATAATGAAAGTACAGCATACCCATATTTAACCAGATTCAATAAAGGCAATACACAAGGGAAAACCTCAGAAATAAATGCCTTCACGAAAAAAGAAGAAACATCTCAAATCAGCAGTCAAACCCTACAACTTGAGGAACGAAACAGAGAATATCAAACTGAACCTTAACCTACCAGTAGAAAGAAAATAAGATTGGAGTGGTAATAAGTAAATAAAAAGCAATAGAATCAACAAAACCAGAAGTTGGTTCTTTGAAAACATCAATAAGATTGCCAAAACTTTAGCTAGTCTATCAAAGACAGAAAAGAGACAGAAAAGATACAAATAATTCCATTAAGGAATCAAAGAGGAGATGTTACAACTGGCCCTATAGAAATGACAGAATATTATAATTAACAAGGGAGCCACAAACTGGGTAGCTTAGATGAAATGGGCATGTTCTTCAGAGCACACAATCTATCCAAACTGACTCAAAAAGAGTCAGCAAACTCAGTAATAGCTGAAGAGATTGAACGAGTGACCGGAAAACTTCCACACATACACAAAAAATCCTAGACTTTGGCTTCACCAAAGACATGTACGAAATTTAGAGAATTGGCACCAATCCGGTATAAAAACTAGAGAAGGAATGCTCCATGATTCAGTCTATGAAACAAAATTATAACCTGGATACCAAAACAAGACAGACACCACAAGAAAACAGAAATATCCTTTGTGAATATACTAATGAGGTGCTCCAAAAAATTCATAGAAAAAAATCCATTATCTTCCCATTTCACTTTTCCACAAACTTCTTGAAGCCCCCTCGTAGATGCAAAATTTCTTAACACAATACTAGCAAACAGAGGCCAACAGTATATTAAATGAATCAGACACCATGACCAACAGGGATTTATTTCAGGAATACAGTGCACCTTTCAACATTTGAAAAAGATTGATAAAATACAACACTCTTTCTTGATGAAAACTCAAGAAGCTTGCATTAGAAGGGACACCGTCAATGTGAGTGATCCAGAGCATATATGGAGAGCTTTTGAGCTACATGAAACTTCATGGAGAAACACTGAGAGTTCTTCTCTTGAAGGTGAGGGTAAGACAAGGGTCCCTGCTCATCACTTCTGGTCAGTCTTTCATGAGCTATCTTAGCCAGAAGTCCTGTCTTTATACCAAACAATAAAAAGAAAGAAAAGGTATACAGACTGGATGGCATGATCCTATGTAGAAAATACAAACCTGTTCAATTGAAGCTTTGTAGAGCTAATAGGGATTTAGCAAAGTTGCAGGGTCTACGACCAACAAGCCAAAATTATCTGTGTTTCTATATATTAGCAATGAGAATCTGGAAAGGGAAGTTAGATGAATGATTCTGTTTATAATAGCATATAACAGAATAAAATATCTAGGATTAAACTTCACAAGGGATCTATCATTTACTATGTGGATTATAAAACTCTGCTAAAAGAGGTTAAGAAGATGTAAATAAATTGTTCTGTGTTCATGGATTATATGCTGTTAAGGTGTCACTATTACTCAAAACAGTCAACATAATCCCAATAAAAATTCAAACAATTTTCTTTACAGAAATGGTAAAACCATTCCTCAACTTTATATAGAATGTCAAAAGGCTCCACCAATTAACACAAAGCTGAAAGAAAAGAAAAAAGTGGAAAAACTCATACTTACTGATCTCAAACCCATTTCAGAGCTATCAAAGCAGCACTGATATGAAAATAGACACAGACCAATGGAAAAGAACTAAGAGTTCAGAAATCAACCCACACATCGATGGTCAACTGATTTTTTTACAAGGATGCCAACTCTAGTCAAAGGGTTAAGAAGAGGCTCATCAGTAAATAATGCTGGGGAAATTTTATTACCATATGCAGAAAAGTGAAGCAGCACTCATGCATCATACCATACATAAAAACAAGTGCAAAATGCAGATCAAGGGTCTGAATAAGAAGTAAAACCATAAAAGTTTCTGAAAATGCAGGGCAAAGCTGTTGGGCTTAGCTTTTAGCAATCAGTTATCTTATTAGATGATAAAGTACAAACAGCAAAAGGCAAAATAAATAAGTGGGATGTCATAAAAGTGAAAACCTTTTGTTCTTCAAGCGACTGTACTAGAAAATGAAAGACAGTCTACTGACAGAGAGTAGCTTCAGAAACCAAATCTCTGATAAGAATCTAATCACCAGAACTTGTATAAAACTTTGACAACCATAAAAATGCAATTAACCCAATCACAAAAATGGACAAAGGACTCAAATAGACATTTCACCAAAAAAGAAGGCTTTTAAATGGAAAGATGCTCAACATCATTAGCTACCAGAGACATGCAAATCAAAACAACCATGAAATATCATTTCATTCTTAATAAAATAAATGTGAAAACAGAGAATAGCAAATATTTAGCAAAGATGAAGAGAAATTAGAACCCTTATCCAATTGCTGGAGAGAATTAAAATGGTATAGCCATTATAGCAAACAATGTGACAGTTCCTCAAAACATTAAAAGTAGAACGACCATAAGACCCTGCCATTCTACTCCTAGGCCCTAACCCAAATGACTTGAAAGCAACTGGAACAGATACTGTACACCAGTGATCATGACAGCAGTAGTCACAACAGCCAGAAGAAGGCACAGCCGAAAGGCCCGTCAGTGGATGAATGGATGTACCACATTGGTACAGACATACAGTACTACTGCTTAGCCAATGAGAGAAGTGAAGTAATGATGCATGCTACAATATGAATGCAGCTTGCAGATATTATGCAGAATGAAATAGGTCTATCAAAAGAGGTCAAATATTATATGAGCTTTCATATATAACAAAGGCAAGAATTGGCAAAGGTATAGAGAGCAAAATGTATTAGTGGTTACCAGAGGCAGGGGAGGGGATAAATGTTTTTGTTACTAGGTATTGATTGTGACTCACAATGACCTTGTGTATGAGGGTAAGTTAAAAAGTTATGCTACTAGTATTCTACTTCATGCATGTATGGGTTTATTATAAACACAGCATGTGTCTGCAAGACACTGGATGGTTTGTAAGAGTTCAGCAATAGTGCTGATCTCCAAGTAAGTACTTGCGTAGACATGCAGGCTGAACAAGTGTCGAAGGGAGTAGGCGTGTGTCCATATATATATTTTTTTCACAGAAGAAGTACCGTATAATATCTATTCACCTTTGCTGTAAATATATACATGCATGTGGTACAGCATACAAAGGGCAAAGTTATGAAAACTTCTTAGATGGAACCAAACACCTTGAGAGAATGAGTTAATGGGCCTGGATGAACAGAACCAAAGTCTTGAAAGAAACCAAGGTCAAGAGCATAGCATAGTTCTCTACGTTTGAAGGGTTAGGAAAGAAGGAGGGAGGGAAACAGGAAACGCAGGGAGGAAGTAGGACAAGTGGTGGTGGTACGTTGAGGGAACTGCAGTGCATGAGTTGAAACAAAATATATTTGAACTGCCCAATGTAAAACGGATGATCTGCTCTGTAAGCCTTCACCTAATTCACAATGAAAAAAAAAATTTTTAAAGAATAGAACTTTTAAAAATAGAAATATAGTACATGAGACAAATTCTTGCCAACCTGGCTTCTAAGTAGTATTCTGGTTGGACGTCCTCCAAAATAGATTTACTCATTCTTCTGGCAGTCCAGGGTATAATTTAATATTCTTCTCTAATACCACAATTCAAAGACATCAATTCTTCTTTGTTGTTGCTTTAGCTGCCCGACCCGTGGGAACCCCAGGCACAATGAATGGAATGAAATGCTGCCCACTCTGGCACCACCACCACAATCCGTGGTGGATCAGAGCTTTTGATCCATAAGGTTTTCATTGTCTGGTTTTCAGGTGTAGATCATTGGGCCTTTCTTCTGGCCTGTGTTAGTCTGAAAGTCCACTGAAACCTGGTCATCTTCATAGAAATATGCAAGCCTCCACTGAAAGGTGTTGAGAGAGCATGATGTACACAGATCGAGAATCAAACCTAGGTTTCCAGTATGGGAGGTGAGAATTTTACCCCTGGACCACTACTGCCCCAATATTGGACACTAACAAAGCCAGTTGACCTCAAGTTGATTCCAATTCATTGTGACCCGATAGTACAGGGCAGAACTGCTGTAAAGGCTAGAAAAGCATTACAGAGGCAGCCTTCTACCTCTTTCTCCGGCAGAGGAGCTGATGGATTTGAACTATGGAGCTTTTGGTTAGCAGTGAAGTGCTTAACCACTGTGCAACCGGGGATCCTCTCATTGGCCACTCAAACTCACTGCCATCGAGTCAGTTCTGACCTAGTGACTTTATAGGACAGGGAAACTGCCCCTGTGGGTTTCCAAGACTACAACTGTTTGTGGAAGTAGAAAGCCTCATCTTTCTCTCATTCAATTATATGGTCACTTTTGCCTGGAGAATCCTGGCTGGAAAACTCTATGTCCCTATTTGCATTTTTTTAAATCCACAAACTATGTGTAACAGTACTTTTGAAGCCTGATGTAGTATTAGCGTGTGCCTGAGAATAAATTGTGATGACGAATGAAGATTCTTTTCTTCAAGCATGAGTGATTATATTGTCTGCTGTTCCCACAGATCTTCTAAAAGGAAGGGCCGAGGACCTGAAACCAGACTCTTACCTCCGAAAGAGTCCTTCCCTTGAATCACTGAGCAGACCCTCGTCTCTGGGTTTCGGGAACGCAAGGCTGCTGAGCACTTCCACCAGGGCGCTGAAACCGCAAAGCAAACTCAGGTATCAATTAAACAGTAAGACATCAGAAAAGCATGGAACTGACAATTTTTTATTCTTTCCTCTGTTTTAACTTGTGGTCATCCTATAAATGATTCCCGAAGGAATGCAGTTACGATGCAGTACCTGTCTTTAAAGAGTCTCATGGGAAGGCACTAAACTGTGTAGCATTATGCAAAATGGGTTCACCACAAAAAAAAAGAAAGAAAAAGAACTCATTATCATCAAGTTGATTCCGATTCAGAGCAGCCCTGTAGGACAGAGTAGAACTGCCTTTGTGGGTTTCCAAGGCTATAAATCTTTACTTAAGCAGAAAGCCTCAGCTTTCTCCCATGGACCAAAGGGTGGATTTGAACCACCGACCTCATAGTTAGCAGTCCAAAATGTACCCAAGTACACCACAAGAGCCCCTTAAAAGTAGGATGAAGGGTCATAAAAACAGTATGATCAAAGTACTTGGGGGTTCCTAGTTGGATCATGAAGACCAGGGGAAAGAAGTATCATTTTTGCTGGAGGCTGGTGGGATTGGGGCGACGTTATCATACCAAGTTCACTGAATCGTGGCTGGAATTGTTTGACTACACCGGACGGGCCTTCATGAGAGTAAGGACCTGGCATATATACTTTAGCTTGTCAATCAGAATTTGTTGGACATATGCCTGGGATACCACAGATAGAAAAGCAATTTGGAACCATATTGTGAATGATCTTCCAACCCAAGGTAAAAGACTGATACTTATTTTGGCAAAGCAACGGGGAAGCAGTACATTTGTGGGATTGTTTTGTTTTTTCAAAAGTGTTCTATAAAATTAGGCTCCTGCTTTTTTAAGGATAGTCCATCAGAAAACTGTGGCATGTGAGGAGGATTTAGAGAGGCATTTTGAAGTTATTGTTGAAAGAGAACTTTGGCAGTGATGGAAGAGAGAGAGAGAGAGAGAGAGAGAGAGAGAGAGAAACCAGCCAGGCTGCTCACAAAGAGCCTATCTTTAGCCTTAGGCCCCTGCCACCTCTTCCCTTTTCAGTGCACCTGGTCTCCCAGACCCCTGAACATCTGTCTCCTCTTTGCTCTCTTTCCTGTTTCTCTGTGGGTTAGACTTCTAAAACATTGAGTGCATCTTGCTCTCCACCCTCTCAGAACTGCTGTCCGCACTTAGATCCAGATTCTTTATCCTGGTATAAGGAGTGAAATCACCTTGCAGAAAGCACTTTGGTCTTTGCTCTTGGTTCGTTCAAGTTGGACCACACTTGAGACCAATGAGTGGAGACTGGGTGCACCAAGAGGCCAGCAGTTCAAAGCTGGTAAAACCTCAGGAGACGTGATATCATCTGTCATGGCCACATGATGAGGCCAACAAGAGCCTTGAACCCCGAGGCTCAGCTGGAACTTCCTGGTTAGTGACGAGGCCTGGGAGAGAGAAATGGCCGCGTTGCACTGGGACCCAGGTATCATCCTATATGCCTCTTTTAGTCCTTTTGTGGTTGTTATATTAAAGCCATTATGCCAGGTATGGTGTTTCCTGTGACATCTGAAATTCATTCCAGTGAATTTAGGGGTTGCTCCCTGGGCTGAAGTGCACAAGTTCTGGACTCCTGAGGTTGTAGCTAATACCCACTGTTCTAGCCTGTGTGGCTAGGGCTAGAATGAAGGGCTGTGTGGGCCTGGGGTCTAAACAGAGAAGGGAAGCTGAGATTTCCATAGGACGCAGTTGGCAGGTGGAATGGGATTTGTTACCCACCTCATCATTTGACATCAACAGTGTGTCTCCTTGGACTGGTTGGTGTGTGCACCCGGCCTTCTAAATGTCCCAGGAGTTAGCCACACCCCAACTCACCTGCCAACATCCCTAGCTCTTCATTCCATCTAAAAGGAGTTTTAAAAGCAGGCTTTAATTCTAGCCTCCTCAATATAATGTGAGCACTTTTAACTACAAGTCTTTGCTTGCAAGTTCTGGCCTGAACTGCCTTTCTATTGTCATGTTATCCTCCTAAATTTTAACTCTCTTTCAAGGCCAAACCTTCTACTAGGTTTCAGCTTAACTCCTGGTGGCACTGATATGACTTCGACGTTTTTCACTCATTTTGGTATTTAATTCTTGTACTGCTTTGTCGTGCTACTAACTGTTGTGGAGTGCACCCGTCTTTGTTTCTGTTAGGCACGAATTGAATAATAAATTGTGCTTATATTTGGGCATCTTTCTCAGCCCTTTGTATTGTGTTACACAGATAGCATTTCACTCAAAAATACAGATGCATAAGTAGATAAATATACACCTTTAGGAGGAATGGCTTTAATAAATGTTATAGCTACCACTATGATGAGTATTATAAAGGGATTTATAAAACTGAATAAATTCAGCCCTTATTATATCTCTGGGTATAGCTGATATTTGAATCTTGTTGATGTGCAAGAAATTTAAGTAATTAAAGTAAGTTTTAGGGATTCTAATTGGTGCAATTCTGAAATGACTCTTTTTTGCATGCTAAAAAAAAAAACACAACAAAGTGCTACATATATATCAGTATGCCATATTAAACTGTTCATGATAAAAAGTTAAAATTATTTTGATTTTATGGTCATGTAAGTGAGATAAACAAGTGACTAGAAATTACTTACTTTGAAAGATCATTATTATTCATTATTATTATTTTGGTCTTCCTACTAATTAGCTTTATTATTTTTTCAAGAACATTGATGGAAGACTGGCATCTATTTATTCTGAAAATCTTTTCCAAATCATTTTAGTTTCTCTCATTTTCCAGAAATTTGACTCTAAAATAAAATAAGGCTGAGTATAGTAAACACAGGCAAAGTCACCTAACTTTGGCCACAACAAACTTGACTTGTGTTAACAGATTGGCCACATGCCAGGAAACACAGTCATCAAATCATACAACAGAAACTTAAATTCAAGTGTGAAATGATAGTCTTAAAATCTTTCTACCGTAATTCATACTGCTGAGGTCTAGAATTATCCTATTACTCTATTTAAAATATATTTTTTACTAAATATTGGATGGATCCAAAACAGTTCTGACTCACAGACTCTCTGGAACAAAATAGAACCAAGGCTGTACATCTTTACAGAAGCGGACAGCTTCATTGTTCTCTCGTGGAACGGCTGATGGGTTTAAAGCCTTTTAGTTTCGGCCAACTCTTAACCCTGATGAAATAATACTAATATACATGTAAAGATTAGCAATACAGTGGAGGCTCATCTGGCTACCCACCCGTCTGCCAGCCTACGAAAATGAGGATTATGATTATTGTAATGTCTTCATATTCTCCACCTCTCTAGGAGCCTTGGTGGCATAGTGGTTAAGCATTGGGCTGCTAACTGCAAGGTCAGCAGTTCATATCACTAGCCACTCCATGGGAGAAAGATGGAGTTTTCTACTCCCACAAAGAGGTACAGTCTGGGACATCCACAGAGCAATTTCACCTGTCCCAGAGGGTTGCTCAGAGTTGGCATCAACTCAATGGCAGAGTTTGGGTGGTTGTTGTTGTTGTTGTTGTTGTTTTCCTCTTTACCTGTGTAGGTTCTAATATCCATTGCAAAGGCTATGCAGAACTCACAGACAAAATTCATGATTAAAGAGTCTCTTAAGGAAATTATTAAGTTATGATGCCATTGGGAAATGCTCAGGGTTAAGGTGTTTATTTGGACTTGTTACAAAGTTCTGGCAAGTCTGCTAATAAATGCCCAAAGGGTATGCCACTTTGCTCTAAGTTTCAGTCTGAAGGCATTCAGCTTAATCTCTGTGGGTCAGCAAACCCAGCTCCCTGAAGTAAGTGTCCAGAAGCACCCACTTGACAGCCAGCCTCCTGCACAAAAGCACACAGCTTTATTTGCTCCGTGGGTTGTGAAGTCCATCCATCTGTTTCATTCTCTGGCTCCTGGTTCTGCTGCTGCTCCTCTGGTGCTATAGCTGTCTTCCAGATTCAGGAGGTTCCCTGCACAGGAATTAGAATAAGCAGATACAGAGAGACCAAAGTTTACTCATGATTCCCAAGAGCAGACGTGAGGGAGAGATTAAACTAGGAGTTATTGATTTTCTGTTAAAGGTGATGGAAAATTTAGAAGTGGACAATGTTAACAACCTGATACATGTAACCAATGTCACTGAACTATACATGCAAATATATTGAGATGGCAAATGTGATGTGTTATATATATGTCACAATTTAAAAATATGTTATTAATGTGACTGATTTGTTGTTTCTTGAGCGTCTTGCTGTATAAACCTAGGCTTTTGCTTTTCCAGTTACTTCTTTGTGTATCACTTAAGGTTATAAAAATTAGCATCTTCTCTTTACTGTGTGCTATTCTTTCTAACTAGTGTGGAACGGAGAGACCCCCTGACTGCTTTGGCCAGAGAATATGGTGGCTCCAAGCGCAATGCTCTGCTGAAATGGTGCCAGAAGAAGACAGAAGGTTACGCGGTAAGAGAATATTGGCCAACATATCCTGAACTGGGGAGAGAAGTTGTCTGGTGCCACCAGGATGCGTTCCATGTGTGCACATGCGTGGGTTGGCCAATGCATGTGTATTCAGGATCCTTCTAGGCTCCTAGGCAGGGTTACCCTGTGGAGTTTTATCTGTGGTACTAAAGAAAGGAACCCAATCATGGACAAGTGGAACTGCAATCCAGTCTGCACTCCCCTCAACAAATCCTGTACTAAACACAGAGCTGTATCTCTTAAGGTGCTTGTGCGGGGAAGGGCCAAGGACACTACCTTTTTATCAGCCCCAGCGAAACATAAGTTCCCAGGCTTCAACCAAAAGAGACAGGTTTTGCTAAATCATCGTCCTAAAGAATACTCTAACCCGATACAGGTGGGCATCCATATTTTTTCCCCAAATTGGCTTTTTTTTTTTTTTTGGAGTTGTTTGCATTTAGCTTAGGGGTTTCCATTGCCTGGGATAGCATTCGTTTTCTGTGAAGATTAGACAAGGATGGAATACCTGATAGCTATTTAAGTTTGTTTTTTAATTGTGAAATAGCTGTACTAAGATAAAAGTGTCTGAAATATAAACTATAGCTTCATGAATTATTATGAAGCAAAAACCCATGAAATCACTACTCAGATCTTGAAACAATGCATTGCCAATGCACCCAGCCCTTCCATATGACGCTTTGCAGCTGTGACCCTTCACAAAGATAACTACCGTGTATACTCGAGTACAAGCCGACCTGAATATCAGCCGAGGCACCTAATTTTACCACAAAAACTGCATTAAAAATGTGCTGAAAAACTCGGCTTACACACGAGTATATATAGTATCTGCAATTCTTTGTTTTCTACAAATTTATACATTCCTAAACACTATAATAGTTTTGCTTCATTTAAATTTATATAGGTGTATTAACAAATTATGTACTGTTTGCGTCTCTAGTTTTTACACATCATATTTAGTAGGATTTATCCATGTTATCACATTAGCTCTAATTTGCTCATGGTCTTCTCCAATTAGTAACTTCTTATGTGATTATACCATTAGTTATTTATCCATTCTATTAATGATGTGCTTCTAAGTTATTCTGGTGTGAGAGTGTTCCAAGGAGCCCGGGGCTGTTCTTTTAGATATCTTCTAAAGCACATGTATGCTCATCTTCTGGATACATACTTAGGAATAGAATTACTGGGCAACAGGGTTTGCTTTTATTAAATTATAGTAGGTAGTTCCAAACAGATTTCCATAGTGGCTGTAAAATTTCCATCCCATCAGGAATTTTTGAGAGCTTTCTCTCTTTTTCATTTTCACCAACCCTTGGTCCTGTAACCTTTTGGGTGTGTAGTGGTCTCTCACTGTAATTTCGGTTTCCATTTTCCTGCCGGTTAAGGAGATTGTACACCTTTTCATTTGCTCACGGGACATTTGGAGTTGGGCAGCGCAGAGGTTTTGCCCATCTTACAATCGAGCTTTCCATTTTTCCATTTGCGTTTAGGGACTTAAAGTGGTATCTTAAAGTGCTTGTTTGTTTTAATATGAGGCAGCTTCGCAAAATTTGCACACAATTGGAATTTTAAAATATTATTATTTTTCCTTGAGTTTTTTGAACCTCCTGGTATATTCTGGTGATAAGTCCTCTGTCGAACAGATGTAGCACACGTTTATTCTGCCGGTCAATGTCACTTGACTTTTCAGTCTTCTTGACTTGATGGCATGAGTTTGATTTGGCTTTTGAATGGTGTCTTTGAGGAAGAAAGTTGAACCTTTCTGCTTCCTTAAAAATCTGTCTTCTCTGAAACCCAACGCAGGGGTTCTACCCTGTCCTAGGGTCACTTTGAGTCAGAATCTACTCAATGGCAGTGCTTTGGGTAATAGTGTCTGTTAATGAACAGAGTTCTTAATGTTAATTAAGTCTAATTCATCAATTTTAAAAGCAGATTTATTGGCACTTAGTCCACATATCACACAATTCAGTGGCTCAATCATATCAAGAATTGTACAATCATTACCACAATTAATTTCAGAACATTTTCTCTCCCCCTCCATGATTAAATCATCTTTAAAATGAGTTGTGTAATCACCTTCAGTTCTAGTGCTCCCTTCCCCTCCCACCTTCAGTGTTTACTCCTGAAATCCCTTCACCCGCCGATCGCCCCACACACACATCCATCCCCTCTTGCATCACTTCATATCTCTATGCATCCACTCCATAATTCATCAGTCTTTTTTTTCTATTGCTTGTGCTTTTTATATCCTGCTTAAGAAATTTTTATCTGAAAGATAAAAAGAAAGAAAGAAATCTATCTGCTGTAAGTTAGTTATGCAGATGTTTTTCTTTGTTGTCTTCTAGGAGCTTTATTTTACATTTTGCAATAAGTAGACACCTTTTTAAAATGACCCAATCTTACTCTCTTCATCACACTCAGGCACGGTTTTCCTTAGCAGTACCCTCTTTCTGCCAAAACTTCTGAAGACGGTGACAACCAAACACTCCCTGCCTCACATCCAGCTTTGGGGGATGGTAGGATTGGGGAAATTTCAAAACTACAAGAAAGGCAGGCCAAGACCTACCCTAGATAGTTAATTAGTGGAACTGGGATTATCATTTCCATATCAGCAGCAGCTGGTATCTTAAAGTCAGAATCTACTCAAGAATTTCAGTATCGTATACCTTTGACTGAAAGCAGAGCCTACTAGAAAGATAGTTACTTGTATTTGATTGACTATACCAAGGCATTCAACTGTGTGGATCGTAACAAACTATGAATAACCATGAAAGAATGAGAATTCCAGAGCACTTCATTGTGCTCATGTGGAACTTGTACATAGATCAGGAGACAATTGTACGGACAGAACCAGGGAATGCTGCCTGGTTTAAAATCAGGCATGCTTATTCAATCTGTATGCTGAGCAGATCATCAGAGAAGCTGGATTATATGAAGAAGAATGCAGCATCGGGGTTGCAAGAAGGCTTATTAACAACCTGCGATATGCAGATGACACAACCTTGCTTGCTGAAAGTGAGGAGGACCTCAAGTACTTGCTGATGAAGATCACGGGTTGCGGCCTTCAGCATGGATGACCACTCAGTGTAAGGAAGACCAAAATCCTCACAACTGGACCAATAAGCAACATCATCCTTAATGGAGAAAAGGTTGAAGTTGTTGAGAATTTTGTCTTGTATGGATCCACAATCAATGCTCATGGAAGCAACAGTCAAGAGAGCAGAAGACAAGACCTCTTTAAAGTATTGAAAAATGAAGGATGTTACTTTGAGGACTAAGGTGCGCTTAACCCAAGCCATGGTATTTTTTTATTGCCTCATATCCATGTTAAAGTTGGATGTTGGAAAAGAAAGACGAAAGAGAAATCAGTCACTTGAGTTGTGCTGGCAAAGAATATTGAAAACATTGTGGACTGCCAGAAGGACAAACTGATCTTGGAAGAAATACAGCCAGAATGCTCCTTAGAGGCAGAGATGGTGAGACTTCATCTTACATACTTTGGACCTGTTTTGAGAAGAGACCAGTCCCTGGAGAAGAACATGATGCTCGGTAAAGTGGAGCGGTAGCAAGGAGGAGGAAGACCCTCATGAGTTGACACCGTGGCTGCAACAATGGGCTCAGGCTTAGGAACCATTGTGAGGATGGCGCGGGACCAGGCCGTGTTTCGTTCTGTTGAGCGCAGCGTGTCTCTGGCTCAGAACTGATGGGATGACACCTAACAACAACCTGTGACATTAGTTTCTGTTCATCTTACGTAAAAAGGAATCTAGTCAATTGATCTATGTATTGTGATGAATTGTATGAGCCCCAATAAATTGATTAATAAAAAAAAAAAAAAGAAATCTAGCCATGCGTATCACTAGTTGTAGAGACACCCAAAATGCAAACTACTTTCTGACCCATTTGTTTTTCTCTCAGCTACTCTGGCCACTCTTCTTCAGCCCCATTCTAAGCGTTAAACCCATCCCACCTCAATAATGACACCCCTAAACATATTAGCCCTGCTGCCAAGGATATGGGGGAGAAAAGAAGCCGTCAGGGGGGAAAAGCTGGTTACAGGAGGGTTTAGGGTAAACTAATGGCCATGGCAGGGAAACATTGAAGAATTTTAACGGATAGTCAACCAGAAATGAGGTCTTGATTGTGGCTGAGCCACTTGAGCCCTAATGTTTAAGGGAAGTAGCAGGGCGGATACAAGGAGAACCTTTTCAAAAGGAATCAGCCCTTTAGGATGTAATGTTATCATTAAGTTACAGGAACTAAACTTCCAGGCAGAAATGTGAGATTACTATTTCCTGCTGTAGTGATTTTACTGTTGTTTGTTTTATGAACATCTTGAACTGGGTTTCAAAACATTTTATGTTTGATGAAAGCCAAAGCTCATTTTGCCTGGAGAGTATTTTTCATTCATTGTTAAGTCTCTGTGAATTTAGAGGGAAATATAAATCATCTGGGTCTGTTTTATTTACCCTTCACTAAGTATTCTTTGTCTAGACTTGTTTGTTTATGATGCCTCATCTGCTTTCTGCAGCTTGTTCTCTCCGGCGTTGTTGCTTTGTTGGTAGGTGCCGCTGTGTCGGCCCTGACTCGTAGTGACTCTGTGTACAGCAGAACGGGCACTGCCCAGGCCTCTGCCATCCTCATAATTCCGACTCTCTGGAGTGAAGCCCATTGCCATCGAATCAATTCGGACTTAGAGTGACCCTACAGGACAGAGTAGAACAGCTCTCTGGGATTTCTGAGGCTATAACTCTTTAAGTTAGCAAACAGTTTCGTCTTTCTCAAGAGGACCAACTCATGGGTTTGAACTGCTGACCTTGAGATTAGCAGTCCAGTGATGCTTCATTATCAAGGTTCCTGACTCAACCAATTGATGAAAACTCAGATGGTTCGCAATCTTTTTGAAAACAAATGGGAACCCAGGCAGCATAGTGGGTTATGTAGTGGCTACTAACTACAAGGTTAATGGTGCAAGTTCACCA